TTTTTTTTAGGTCATTGTAAATAAAGGGCAACTATGTAGAAACCATTTTATAAAGTGTTGCATATTGTATTACAAGGTATTACATTTAAATTTACTTTAACTGTAGAGAAGACATTAAAGTGAAACTGAAGGATTTGCTGAACTTTAAAATATTAAACACTCATAAGATTTAGCAAAAAGATTTTGGAAACTTGTAGAATGTCCTCATTGTTTGTTTTTTTTAAGCCCATGTTGTAATTTTGAACAGGTTCAATTGACTCACTGCTAGGAAGGACAAAAAAATGTATTTACATGTTTCGCTTCCTCTTCTAATCAAATTATGTAATTTGGTCTGTAACATGATTTCCACAGTTAATTTATCTTAATTCTATATTTAAAAATAGACTTATGCTCACCACCATGGCTTCTGCCATAGCTTCTCCAATTGCTGGAGTCAAGAAAATAGGGATACGTTCCCCCTAAGAAACCTGTGGCATAATCCGGAGTTCTTTCTGGTGTGAGGAGCGCCTCTTCCCTTGACAACAATGCAGCCTGGCTGTTCTCTGTCCTACTTCCCTTCTCCCCACACTTCGTTGCAGCTGTGTTTTGGTGGCAACATGTGGGGCAGCCAGATTCTTTGTCTTTGTGGGTGACTTGCTCTTTTGAGGGTACCTGGGGAGGATTGTTTTGTTCCTCAGCAGTTTGATAGCTTCACGAGGCCGAGCCTTGTGTGGACCATTCTGTCAGTTTTTCAGGCCCTTCATATGCTATTCAATTCTTCATTGTTTTCGGGGGAACTTCCTTCCGTTGGATCTAATTATTTTTTTCGATTCTACTTATGGGTTAGATACTGCAGGGATACGAGTTTTCCTTATGTTCTTGTCCTTTGCCTGGTCTTTTTTTCCCTCATGATGTTAGCTGTTTTTCACCTGGTGAGTATCTCTAAACTTTCCTCTATGAAATGTGATAGCCAGCCTCGTTTATATTAGTTCTGTAATTGAGTGGTTTAGTTCTTCGTTCTTTTTCTTGCTTTGCAGTCTCCCCTTATCTGACTCTGTTTTATCCTATGATCTGAGGATTTTTGCTCTGTTGGCTTTGTGTTTTAATTAAGTTTGTCTGCAGTGGGGACTATTCTGGAGGAGTTTGGTTTAGTGTCTTTTCCTTGGATGTTTTCTTCCAGGTTGGGTTTTTCTCTGTTATCCACTTCCTCCCTCCCTTCTTCCTCCCTCCTTTTTCTTCTATATTACATATCTTCTCAGCTGGCTTATATTTAACATGGGCAGTTTAGTGACGTGGTTCCGAGGACAGACTAGAGTCCCAATGCCTAGGATGCAGTCTCGATCCTTTCATTGATTTGGGGCAAAATACTCTCTGTGTTTTATCTTTTCATCTGTAAAATGGAAATAATACTAATTCTCTCCTTATAAGGTTGTTGGGGGGACTTACTGAGTTGAGCATGTAAACTGCTAGGCAGGTGCCTAAGCCTGCTTTTGTCATCACCAGAAGCATCATCGGGGCTCCTGATGCGGACAGTGTCCATGAAGGTCCAGTACCTGCTTCTAGTACCTTCCGTCTTTCCCCCTGAGCTCCAGCACAGGGTGAGGGTGGGGGAAGGCCTAGTTAGAGGTTCTTTTGGGGGTTTACTTTATGAGGTCAAAGGTGTATCCTCTTTCTTGGAATCCTAGTTTGGGGTGATCTCCCCCTGGGCGGCCTGGCTGTCTTTTGTCACTGTCCCCAGTGCTTGCTGAGCCCTCCGTTCACTTCTGTTTGTGTCAGCATTCGGGGTCTCATGGGCTTACCCCTGTGGCAGTGAGGGTCAGCCAGTGTCCATTCTGTGCTGCCCCAGAATCCCCGTCCCCACCCAGCCCCCACTTTCCAAGTGTGCAGACTGGGGTTATGCACCTTTCCTTATTATTTATTTGCTGTTGTTGACCATATTCCTGGCTGTTAATTTTCACCTCTTGCTGTTGGGAACACACAATTCTCTGATCGAAGTTTCTTCTGCCAACTTTTTTCCAGAAATCTTGTGGGGAGCTTTTAAAAAATCAAAGAAAGAGAGAGAAAAAAATAAAACAAAACATTCCTGGACCCAGCCCTGGGCCTTCCATTTCAGAGGGTCTGGGCTGGGGCCAACTGTCTCCCATTTAAAAGCCTTTCTCTGTGGTTCTTACGATCAACTGCGTTTAAATGCAGTGCCCTTATTAAAGGTCGTATATTTTTCTCTTACCTTTTAATTTGTCTCTCTGAAGAGTAAGTTAAGTATATAAAACACTTACAATTTTTCAGGAAGATCCATAAATTTAAAGATGCCTTTTGTGGTTTGTTGGCTTGCTTGTTTTTTCAAAATAACCTCCTACAAATACGCCTGTCTCAGAGAATAGAAATGGAAGTTGATCTTTTTTTCTGTACAGTCCTGAGAGACATTCTTTAGACCTGGAGTTCACCTCTAGGCCTCTTAAGCTTTCAGTTTTCGGCTGGCCTTTCTGGGGTGAATTATTCATTGACGCTCTTAAGCGTTTGGATGCTTAGATGCTAACTTGGTCAGTGGCACGCAGTCACCTGACCCTGATGGTCCTCACGGGGTGTCACCCACCACAGTCTCTAAGCCTGTGTAGGGTTTGACTGTTTAATGGGAATGAAGAAAGCTGGTTTCACCTGGGTTTGTTCAAGTTCTGTTACCTTCAATTGGATGTAAAAATTATTTGTATGGCTGCTAAGGACTGGAAGCTAAAAAGAAAGTGAGGATTAAAAAGAAAACGCCTTGAGCCCAGCTGTGGTGGCTCAGTGGTTGAGCGTCAATCTATGACCCAGGAGGTCAGGGTTTGATTCCCAGTCAGGACACATGTCCAGGTTGCGGGCTCAATCCCCAGTGTGGGGTGTGCAGGAGGCAGCCAATGAATGAATCTCTGTCATCATTGATGTGTTTATCTCTCTCTCCCTCTCCCTTCCTCTCTGAAATAAATAAAAATATATTTTTTAAAAACAAAACAAACAAAAAATAAATCTTTAAAATAAAGTTTTGAAAGAAATTTAAATAGGTTTGAATTTAGAAGTGGTGCTTTCCATTGGTAAGCTATAACTAACAGAAGAAATGGTTAATGTTTAAAAAAAACCACGTGCTAAAAGCAGCTCACATGCTGGGCTTTTTCAATACTCTACTCTCCCATAGACGCTGCTCTCAGTAAGTCTGGAGAAGAACCATTGGTTGTGGAGTCCTCCTTTGGCCCTCGGCTCCCCTGTGGCCACCTGAGGGGTTATTTTTACTAAACCTGCCTTTTAAGGAGTGGTGGTGATCTACCCAATTGTACTGTGCTTTCAACAGATTTCTCTTTCGCATTTTTTTCTCAAAGGCACATTCTTTAAGAAAATACTGCTTTTCCACATTTTTTAAAAACAAATCTAGATTTATTAGACAGACTGTGTTCTGTATCCTGAGCATCAATAGAGAAAGCATGACACAGGTTAAGAGTAGCTCACGTGATAGCAGCTTCAATAAGTACATCCTTTCGTCGGTTTGCCTATAACGCTTAAATTGTTATAGATTATTTTTAAGTAATTGCAGCAGTAGATACTCTTGGGTGTTGTATAGTCCCTGGGAATTTCCAGACTTGAAGCGACCATAGAGTTCGTTTCACCCAAACACCTGGGACTCACGGATGAGGAACTGGGAGCGCAGACTTGCTGTTGACCTATCCAGGGTCACGCCGTCCAGGCTCAGTGGTGCCTGGAGTCCCAGAGCAACGTCCTTGTTACTGAAGTCCATGCCTCTCGTGTTAGAGGTGAAATCCCATTTCACTTTGCAGAATGTACCATGATCAAAATCGTCAGTTTATTACTGCACCTTTTTGTAGGCGAATCTGTAGATTCAGGGAAAACGGGAGAAATGAAGTGTGAGAAATGAAGGTAGCTACTAGAAAAGAGGGATAGCAGCACGCCAGAAACAGGACGTGAATGCTGAGCTGCTGCCCAGGGGAGCCCCACTGTGGGCCACCCGTCAGCCTCCCGGCTGGTTCTCCCACTCCAGCTACCCGGCCGGGAGCCACGAGAAGCAGCTGGGGGACCGGTGCCTGTGAGGCACAGTGGTTCTTTCCATGATCACCTCTTGGTCTTTGTGTAAATCTAAGCTGAGTGTTGACAGCACTTTCATTCCTGACCTGGAGATGGGGTTAGGAAGAGACACTAAGGCGATATTGGCTCATCGGAGTGTGTTCAGTGCAAACCTGGGAGGCAGCTTCAGAGGTCTCCTAGGGTCCTGGCTGGGTAGCTCAGTTGCTTAGAGCATCATCCTGACACTCCAAGGTTGTAGGTTCGATCCCTGGTCAGGGCACATACAGGAATCAACCAGTGAATGCGTGAATAAGTGGAACAACAAGTTGATGGGTTTTTTCTCTCTCTTTCTCTCTTAAAAAATCAATTAAAATTTTTTTGAAAGGTCCTCTAGTTAAATGACTTAGCATAAACATCACCCCCAACTTGTCTCTACTGCCTTAGAAGACTGATTTACTAGCTTTAGGGGGGAGCCGCCACCCAGCCTTGACCACATGCTCTTGGCACTGTGATTCTTTTTTATTTTTTTTATTCTTAAACATTTGGACACAGTGCATGTGCTTCCCTGGAATTTAGAGCAGTGATGCTCAATGGAAGATGACCCTGAGGGCCTGGTGGCCTGGTGAGAAAAACCGCCCTCAGCTCAGTGCTACATGGAAGCCACTGCATGTACACACGTGGTCTGTGCTCTCCATGAAGTCAAGTCGGCTGTCCACAGCCAGGAAGGGGCCAGCTGGCGACCACCCCACTCTCTCCGGCTCCACCCGGGAGCCAAGACTCGGCTGTGCGATCCTTCATCGCAGGAGCTGCTTCGCACATGGTCGGGGTTGGAAGGAAATTCATGGATTTCGGCTGTGGGAGTTTTGTGACTATTTTTTTAAACTTACAAATAAAAGAAAGCACTAATGTCATCTGTGACCCCTGGCTTCTCGCTTAGCCCTATGTGAGGTGACGTGTCCGCATTTTTGTTTCAGGAACCTCTCGAAGAAATACCAACCCAAAAAGAACTCGAAGGAGGAAGAAGAATACAGGTGCGTTCATCGATAATGACACGGCACTCTCTGCGCCACTGGTGGTGACTGTGAAGGAAAGGGGAGATGGAGGCCTACAACAAGTTGCATTCTCTTCTCACGTTTGTGCCCGTTTTTAAACTGAGGGGAGAGAAAAACAAAAACCTACTCAAGGAACTTTTCTTGTGCTGAGTCACTAGAGCTTTTGTGGATGGTTCCAATGAGGGCAATTAGGAAAAGCTTGGAACAGAATCCAAGCAAGTGCAGGGAGTATAGATTGTACGTTCTACAGCAAGCATGTCAAACTCGCGGCCCACAATGAATATTTTTGTGGCCCAGCCAATATAACAGTATCTCAGAAACGTCTTAATAAAAGTTTTGTAACTTAATTTTTACAATATCCTGTTATACAGGATATTAATAACGAACAACAATGTTCGCTAGTGACCGATTACTATAACCGTGTCGCATTCATGTCCCTTACGTGCCTTATGCACAGGTGCACCATTTCTCTCCACTGATACTAGCAGCGAATATTTTAGCAGCCGACGGCCACGCCATTAGTCTTGTACTGACTTGTTTGGTGTGCACAACAGGAAATATTTCGCTTTTGGAGAACAAGAAAAATAGGTTTATTTGCGTTTCGCTTATTTGTGCAGTTATTCAGTGTCTGGTAAGTTAATGTTCAAGAAAAAATATTAATTCTTATTAAAATGTTCTGTTATTTTATGTTAACAATGACTCATTTATTTCAGCCCTTTGTATTCAGCATTTCTCTATTGAAATAAACCTACGTTTCTATGAAAATTGAAGCTTTATGTTTTTTTTTGTGGCCCACATAACCTTAAACCTTGTTTGTTTGGCCCGTGTTAGCCTTTGAGTTTGACATGCTTGCTTTACAATCTTGATTTGGTTTTGTAATGTCAAGAGTCTCATCCAGCCTAATTCATCCAAGAAATATGTCCATTTCAGCCAGCGACTAAGGCTGAACATGGACAGTCCCAAAGTATTATGTCTCTAACTTGGGGCTAAATAGCCATTAGGTTCATACATACAGCATGTATATATGTTTTGGGTTATATTTGCACTAAGTATTTTATTGCCCTGCATAGAGCAGTTCAGTTTCCACAAAATGAAAAGAGTTTCTGTTGTAATTAATTCTGAACCGTTTTGATGAAAACACTTATGTGTAATGAATTGTCAGGATCCCATGGGGGGTTGATTTTAATGACTATTTCTCCGGCGTAATGCAGTGTGAGCACGGATGTGACCGCGTTTGAAAAAGGTTCCATGTGTTCTGTTCCACAGGTATACGGCGTGTAAAGCCTTCCTTTCCACCCTGAATGAAATGAACGATTACGCGGGGCAGCATGAAGTCGTCTCCGAGAACTTGACCTCACAGATCCTCGCGGGGTTAGCACGCTACGTCCAGGAACTGAAGCAGGAAAGGAAATCGGTACAAAGTTTGTTTTTTCTTTCAAAGAAGTGGACCAAAGATAAGGGCAATATCCCTAGAAACCTTAAAATTAAATAGAATCATAAATAGTGGGACTTAAACTGATTCCTTTGAGAATAGTATAAAAGTTATGGACCTTGTTCCTAGGTCTTTACAATTTCAAGGGCCCCTCAGATACTCTGAAGCGCATCTGTGGGCCCCAGAATACCAATTCCTCTGAGGCATTTAAATATATTTGAGCATATCAGTCCTACAAGGATAAGCAGTATAAGATGGGGTGTGCTGTGTGGAATAAGTAGTATTAAAATAAATGCTTACACGGACTTTTAAAAAGCAAGAAAGATGACCTCAGTTCCACCCACCTGATTTCTTGGCTCATCCGTTGCTATCTAATGAGTAGGACCTTTTTGCTCCTCTCGACACCATTAAAATCTTTTCATGGCTTTTATTGTGAACAAGAGAGAAAAATGTACGCTCAGTATATTCATAGCCAAGGTTTTCCTTAAGAGATCTATTTTTAAGCCATGATTTGTATCTTTGAGCTTTGATCGCTTGCTAGGTGCATACTAATTTGTTAGCAGTAAAGTATGAAGTCGGCCAGCGACATGCTTTTTTTATGTAGATTTGAGCCCACGGAATTCTTTCAGTGCCCGGATGCATGAACCAGCAAGGTAGCTAGGGCTCCCACCGAAGTGGAGGAGACGGTAAATAATAATGACCAACATCAGTATGTCATTCCGTTCTGATCGTTGCCACAAGTACCAGATTTTTAGGTCTAGCTACTGTTTCTCATGGCTGACTAGAGACAGTGTCTTGCTTAAGTACCATTCTTAACCCTCAGTGCAATACCTTTTGGGCCATTTGATACAGTGGCGAAATCCTGTCTGCCCAAAGGGACGATTTCAGATTTACAGCATAGAGCAGCGGTTCTCAACTTGTGGGTCGCGACCCCTTTGGGGGTCGAACGACCCTTTCACAGGGGTCGCCTAAGACCATCGGAAAACACATATATAATTACGTATTGTTTTTGTGATTAATCACTATGCTTTAATTATGTTCAATTTGTAACAATGAAAATACACTCTGCATATCAGATATTTACATGACGATTCATAACAGTAGCAAAATTACAGTTATGAAGTAGCCACGAAAATAATTTCATGGTTGGGGGTCACCACAACATGAGGAACTGTATTAAAGGGTCGCGGCATTAGGAAGGTTGAGAACCACTGGCATAGAGTATTTCCAAGCTCAGTTCAGATCCTAGTAGAGAATTATTTTTCATCTCGATTTTGCCAGTTGAAAGAGATGAAGCCCTAACAAGAGCCTGCATGGTGAAATGGCTCACGCTGCAAAAAGGGAGGCTTCCTCCTTCCTGTGTAGACGTGAGAGGCAGTAGGAGAAAAGCAGGTAGTGGGAGGGATGGACATTCTTCTTGCCTTTGGGGCCATAGCATGACAGTGAGTCAGCTGTTTGATGTCGAAGCTTTCAAATTTCCAACCAAAATAGGAGAGTACTAGCTACTCATGCTTCTAGGAGAAAAGATGTTTTTTACGCAGCGATTTCCACCTGTGCTGTATTCATTCTCATATTACAGTGCTGCTCACTCACATAATAGTATGAATAACCAGTGTTTATCCTGATACACAAATCTGTAGGCTCCTCTTTGGGAAAATATGTTGACTTTTCAAAGGTAAATTCTGAAAAAGACAGTCTTGACTTGCCGCCTATGAAAGCAGAGCGTCTAGGTTCTTCCCTGGCTGACGTCTGAGCCACACGTTTCTCCTCGGGAGCAGGCGCGTGGGCGCTGGAGGCCGGTGCTGCTGGGCCTGGGCCTGGGCCTGGGCCTGGGCTCATCGGGGTCCCCTGCCCGGGGCCCAGATGGTCAGTGTTGGGTGAAGTTAAGCCACTGAGCATGGCAGTGGGAAGGAGGCTTTTAGGAACTTTAAGCAAGTTTGCTGAGAAGGTATTGTTATTATAAATGAGTTTGGGAAAATAAGCCTTAAATCAAAGCAGAATGCGACTCCTGTCACGAACACTCCTGGGTTTATGGTTTCGGACTTAAATGAGGGTGAAATGCTCCTTTGAGCCAGTCTGAAGGTGGCTCACAGTTTTCCTCCCAGTACACACATCTCTACCCACAGAGACTTAGCGGTGCACGAATTAACCCCGGGGCAGGCTGAGAAGGGCCAGTGTTCAGACCCGCCGCTCTGTGGGTTTTGAGGAAGTTATAATATTTGTCACAGACATATTTTCTGGATGCTCTTTTTTTCTTTGCCCTTTTCAAGTCTTTGTGTTCCTTTGTTTTCATCTGTGGAATCTGAGTTTTATTTAAAATTCCAGATGGTTGACTGTCCTCAATTGAGTGTTTATTCTTTTTCCCCCCCAGCTTTTTTTTTTTTTTTTGAGTGGCTGTTCTCACATCAATGCCATATTTTGCTTTATTAAGGAGTTTTAGAAGTTAATGAACTATTATATTTATATAGTGAAAGTAAACAGCTGTTATACCTAATTATGGAGTGAGAATAATAAACATTCGCACACTTTGTTCAGCCTAAGTATGATGTCTCGCAGAGCAGTACTCTGAGAGCTTTGTCACTGTAATTTTCTTTAGGTTAATGTGTGCTTATTTTAGCTTCCCTGTGATTATTTTATTTCAGCCACCCCTGGTCACTGGGAAATTTCTAAAACAGTTTTAAAGGATGAATGTGCTTGTGTATGTTTAAGGGTCAGCAAAAGCATTGACCTGAAAGTGAGTTTAGCTGTCACCCAGATACCATCAGGCATTTTTGAAAGTCTTATTGTGTTTGGAGAGAAACGAAAGCATCTTATTCCAGGAGAGAGTGGGAGCCTGGCGCTGGGCCTGGGGAGCTGGCATTTCCTGTCTGTCCTCGGAGAGGAGAGCAGGGAGCTGCGATGACCTCACCGGGCCAGCGGAGCGCTTGTTATCTCCTGGAGAACAATCCCTCTTTATGAGGCCTCGGAGGCACACTTCTCAGTACACACGTGCTCACTGTCCAGAGAAGAAATGTGTTTGCCATTGCTTGTCAGTAAACAACAAACACATCTGGCGAGCCGGTGAGTTTAACTTGTAGCCGTTGAAAACCGCCGCTATCTGGATCAGGCCCAGGGCAGGCTTTGGTTCCATCCGTCCGTTTCCTATGAGACCAGGCAGCAGCGACCGCGTGCGCGTGTGTGTGTATGTGTGTGTGTGTGTGTGTGTGCGCGCGCGCGCGCGTGCCACATGAGGTTTTGTTTTTTTAAATATATTTTTATTGATTTTAGAGAGAAAAGAGGAGAAGGAAGGAGAGATAGGAGCTTCAATGATGAGAATCACTGATTGGCTGCTTCCTGCACACCCCACAGTGGGGATTGAGCCCGCAACCCGGGCATGTGCCCTGCCCGGGAATTGAACCTTGACCTCTTGGTTCATAGGTCAATGCTCAACCACTGAAGCACGCCAGCCGGGCAGCCACATGAGTGTTGGAGGGGCACATGCTATAAGGAACGATTCAAAAGAAATCACAGGCACCTGGGCTTTTCTCACGTCATGTGAAGCCATGGGGTCACGCGTGTAGTTGGGGATCCTGCTTTCGTCTGACAGCTGTGGCTCAGGCGTCCTTGGGAGAAAGCTCACAGCAAAGTCAGGGTCCACACTATGCTCGATAAGTAAATTCCTATTTATTCTAAAATAGTTGGATGAAGGCGCGGCAGGAGGATTCCCGGGTGGGGTTTCGGTGGGAGCCATCCCTCCTGCTCCCCAAATGGCCAGTGTCTGAAGACTGTGTCCTCAGGGAGGATCCTGTGATAGAGCAGAGCCTTTCCTGAGGGTCCGCCAGTCTCTGCGCGTCCTGTGCGTGCTTCCTGTCCACGCGGGGCGGTGCTGCGCCGGAAGCCCAGAGCTGGGCTCGGGTGACTCCCTCTGTGTGGGTCCATCTTTGAATCTCAGAGTGAAATTGGTGAGACTTCTGAAAACCGCACAACGCGGTGGGCCCTGCTCTCGGAATGGGGACGATCCTCGTGGCAGTTTGGGAAAGTTGCGTTCCTGGATGGACAGGAACTCGGGCTCGAAGGGCCTCGCTGGAAGGCACAGTGAGCCCGTCTGTCCCGGCCTGTCCCTCTGCCTCCCCGTCTGCCCACATCTCTTTCCCCTGAGCACCCCCTCACCACTGCTTCCCTCCGGTCTCGTTATAAGGGATCTTTGTGGCTTCCAGAAACCTGCTTCCACTTTGTACTTCCTCCGAAGCTCAAGGCTTCCTAGCTCTGCCCGGCTCTATTCTGACTCCCCACAGCCGTGACCCTGTCCTGCTGGTTTATTGCTGCCGTGGACTCGCTCTCTTTTCTGTCGCATCCCCGTGCTGTGATGAGGCTGGAAAAACGAAGCCCAGGGGCTCTCTTGGGTTCATAGACACTAAAAAGCGGCTGGATGGATGCAGCTGGCTGTAAAGAGGCTCTTACAACAGTGAACGTGACCTCACAGGAGGCGAGAAACAGTCCCTGTAAAGAAGCGCTGTCTTTTCTGAGAGAACCTGCCCTTCCCCTGCTCCCAGCCTCCCAGCGGTCAGCTGCCGCTTGTGACTCAGCTGAGCCTCGGTTCTGACAGGTGAGGTGGGACTCTGAGGCTGTGCGGAAGGCTCCTGTCCCTCCTCACCTGCCTTCCCCGCAGCACCCTCCCCTGCCTACCTGTCCTAGTCACTGAAGGGAGCCCATGGATGAAAGGGAGTGTTTAGGCCGCTGTGGAGAGGGACCAGGAAAAGCCATCAGGGATGCTGAGCTCCACCGGCCGCTCCAGGAAACAGGTTAGCTCCGGGCAGCTGCCTCACCGGAGCTGCAGCCTTGGTCAGGGGCCCCAGCCGGCCAAGAGCATCATAGCTGGGGGAGCTGCAGGCGTCCATTTCCGCCCTCTGATACGCCGGAACCTCTCCATGGCAACCCCAACAGAACCGGAGAGTGAGGAGCCTGCTCACGCGTCCAGGCAGGTCAGGACAACCTCGGAGTCACCCTGACATCTGAGCACATCACAGCCACATCTGGTCCCATGCAACCGCACATCCCGGCGGCTTTCCTGATCAAAGGGCCCCAGCATCTGATCCTCTCCCACCACCTCTCCTGCACCCCGTGGTCCAAGTGTTTGTCATCTCCCCGGGTGGAGAGAGCCTGCCACCTGGAACCTTATTCACAGCATGGTGCTTCCGTAGTCCATCACCTCTGCTCCCCGCTCATTCAGACAAGCAGCCCACAGACCCCCCCATTCTGCCCCTTTCTTCTCTGACCCCTGGCTCCTAATGTTTGTGAGGCTCACTCTGGTCTAGTCCTTGGGTGTCAACACCAGGCACATACCTGCCCCAGGGCCTCCGCAGGTAGCAGGTGAATCTACCTTAAATTTAAAAAGTCCTAAGTAATGGAAACATCTGCCTACTCAAAACTTTTACACAAATACTTGTAGCTGCATTATTCATAGCAGCCCCACACTGGGAACAACCCAAAGGCCATCGGCTGGTGAATGGATAAACAAATGGTGGCATATATCCATACAGTGGAATGTCACCTAGTGATAAAAATGATCCATGTGACATATGGATGAACCTTGGAGAGATAATCTCATCACATTATGAAGTGATGAGAGCATTATGCCAGTCACGAAAGATAATGTTGTGAGATTCCATTTCTATGAAACATCTAGAAGCGGCATATCTATAGAGACAGAAAGATGAGTGGTTGCCCAGGCCTGGGGAGGATCTGGGTAAGAGAGTGACAGCTAAGAGGTCGTGGTTTCTTTTTGGGGTGATAAAAATGTTCTCAAATTGATTATAGTGATGGTTGCATAATTGTGTGACTCTAGTAAAAACCATTGACTTGTCAATTTGCACGTGTGAATTGTATGGTATGTGAGTTACATCTCAAAGCAATCAAAAATAAAGATCTAAGTGATTTTTGTCTTAAAACTTCACTATCACTTTTACAAATTGTGTATATAAGTCTTAGAATTCAATTATTATAACATCTAAAGTTTCAAAGGCTACTCTTGGCTATTCTTGTTTTCATTTCCCTTTATTTTTTAACTCTTCGATTTCTGGGCGCGCACATGCTGGGTGTTCAATATTTAAGTATTATTTTAGCGGGTGGGCTTTTTCTCTCGTGTCACCATGAGCAGGAGGGTGCGCTGATCCCTGGTGTTTCTCGCTTGCAGCACTTTCATGACGGACGGAAGGCCCAGCAGCACATAGAGACCTGCTGGAAGCAGCTCGAGTCGGTGAGTGAGAAGCCAGCAGCCCGGGAAAGGCCTGCGCCGGTTTTCTAACTGGAATTGAATATCAGCTTGAATCAGTCAGTATGTTCAAAACTAACGAAAACACTAAAGAAAACGCCTTGAGAGATTTTTCTAATCTGAGTGTAGAGTGTTTCTAGAAACTTTTATCTGAAGTAAAATGTTGAGCCAAAAGAGCTCAAGGAGCGTGTTTTTTCTAAAAACCACGTGGAAAGAACAAAGATTAGGCCGTTGGTCCTGACACAGACAATATGGTGGGGAAGGCCTGGGGTACGGGGTGGGGTGGGCTGGGGGGGGTCATTGGGGGGTAAAAGAGGACATACGTAATACTTTCAACAATAAAGACTTGTTTAAAAATAAATAAAGTAGCACCCTGAGATTATGACCCAGCAGTCCGTTTGGGAGAAGAATGCTCTTTGGGGATTTGGGTAAAAGCCAGTGCTCAGAGGGATCTCCTGGTTTCGATAGTCACCGCTTTCCTCTGCTTCCAGAGCAAGCGGCGATTTGAGCGGGATTGCAAGGAGGCTGACCGGGCGCAGCAGTACTTTGAGAAAATGGATGCTGACATCAACGTCACAAAAGCGGATGTTGAAAAGGTAAGGTGAAAGTAAGCCTGTCTCTCGTTTCCCCTTTTCAATGTTCGTCACGCACCCTCCCAGAGGGTCGGTCCCCAAGTTCTCCTTTCTGATGCAGCCACAAAAGGCCACTCAACGTGGGATCATTTTCCATTTGTGTCAGCTGCCATGGGGACCTGAAGCTGAAACTTGGGGGCTCGTGGGTGTTGGGCAGTTTGCTTATTTGTTCAGTCACCAGGATGATAACGCGGAGACTTAGGCCATGACCACGGCCCAGGGGTTGGTGTCTGGAGATTGTGGCTTTCACTAATGGCTTTTCAAAGAAAAGCCAACCTCTTGAAACCAGGGCGGATGTGCAGCGAGAGCTTGGCTGCCTCTGGTGCTTCCGTTCGACAGATAAGGAGGCTCCCGCCCTGGCCTGCTTCTGAGTGAGTCATCCGGTCGCTAGCAGGTTGCAGCTGAGGTCCGCATGCAAGTCCTCGGCTTCTCTGAATGCACTGGAATTGGCAGCGAGGAGTGTCAGAGAGCTTGCGCTGTGTCTTCTGGCGTTTGCTCCCTGAAGCTGAATTTTCTTTTTATGACAGTCATCAATAGGGCGTAAACAGATCAGTCTGTTAAATAACAGTCTTCATTCGCTGCTGCCCAGGGCTGTGCTGGCGGCCACAGCCTCCTGCCTCCCCTGGGAAAAGCCTGCCTTTTCAGAGGTTTCTTTCATTTTTGCCAGGTTCGTTGCAGACGAGATGAGTTGGAAAAGTGTGTGTTAGCTATTTCATTATTTGCCCCTCCTGCCAAATTCCTTGCTTACAGCCAAGGTATATGTCAGTATGCCTTCCTCTAGAATTATCTACATTAAAATACACATTCTCATTTATTTACTTTACCAAAAGATATACTAATATGCTGGTAAAGTTACTATAAATTACCATAAATTTGTTGTGAGTCTCCTTAAACAGACAACTTTCCAAACTATAAAAAATATTATTAAATTACAATAGATTGACCCTGCTTGGCTGGTGTGACATGCTCAGTTGGTTGAGCATCATTCCGTGCATCAAAAGGTCCCTGGTTGGATTTCCGGTCGGGGCACATGCCCAGCTTGCGGGTTCAGTACCAAGTCGGGAACCTGACTGGGAATCGAACCAGGGACCTTTTGGTGCACGGAATGATGCTCAACCAACAGAGCCACACTGGCCAGGGCTCATTTAATTTCTTCTGACTTTATGTGTTCTCATTCGATATTATGTTTTTCACTTTATTCAGGTGGAATATAGAGCATGTGACTTTCATATGTTACTATTAGAGCCCAGTGCCTTGCTAAACTCTTTTCATTTCTATTTTGACTTTTCTATCGAGACAGTCCTATCACCAGCATAGAATGGCGGTTTTATTTCTTCTTTTGCAGTCCTTATGCCTTTTATTTATTTTTCTTATCTCGCTCTGCTGGTTTTGACCTCCATTACGCTGCTAGAAGCAGTAATTGTGGACTCCTTATCTTGTGCTTGCTTATAAAGAGGGCTTCAAATGTTTCTCCATTCGGCATGATTTTAATATGCCCTTTATCAGGTTAAGGGATTTCCCTTCTTTTCCTATTTTGCCAAGAGGTTTTGTTAAGCTTGACTTGATATTGAATATCGTCAAATAAATTTTCTGCTTCTTTTCATCCCATTATTAATGGGATAGAGTTCATGGATCAATTTTCTTATATCAAACCAAATTGGCATTCCTGGGACAATTCCAACTAGGTCACCGTGTATTATTTTATTTCACTCAAGATTTTTGCGTCTGTAGTCATTGAGATTATTCTATAATTGTTCTTGTCTGTTCTAGTTTGCGTTACATACTAGTTTTGTAGTAAGCTTACTCATATTTCTATATTCTGAAATAATATATGTGAGATGAAATTAACAGTTCTTAAATGTTTTGTGATATTGCATCGTGAGAAAGTTTCTCACTACTGATTCGATTCCTTTAATGTCTGCTGCTTTGGTTGATCTTGGGGTAATATTTTTCTAGAAATATCTCCATTTCATCTTAAGGTTTGAAGTGTCTCGGCTAAATGTTGCCCATAATCTCTCACCTTAATTTTTGCTGCATATGTTGATTATTCCTAATACTCCTCCCCCCACCCCCTTTTTGGGGTCATTTTTCCAAAATCATTTTTATTACGATTTTCCAAGAACCAAAATTTGTCTTGGTGCAGCTTCTCTTTTCTACTTCTATTTTCTATTTCATTTCCTTTCCTTTCCTTCAACCTTCTCTGTCAAGGTCTTTGTTTTTTTGTTTGTTTTATAATCGCCACCCAAGGATATTTTTCCATTGATTTTTAGAGAGAGTAGAAGAGAGAGGGAAAGACAGAGAGAAATATTGATGTGAGAGAAACACACATCAATTGGTTGTCTCCTGAGCCCGACCAGGGCTTAGGCTGGAGAGGAGCCTGCAACTGAGGTACATGGGAATCGAATCTGGGACCCTGTGGTCCACAGGGTGAAGCTTTAGCCACTGAGCCAAACCAGCGAGGGCTCTGTCAATGTCTTTGGATTTCATCTATTGTCCTTTAAATGTTTCTTTCTTCAGATGCTTACCTCATTCCAACTTTTCTCCTTTTCTATTATAAGCAGTTGAGTAACAAATTTCTTATGTAAGCACTGATTTATCTGCAACCCACGAATTTTAATGTCTATTATTATTATTGTTCACGTCCCGATCTTTTTCATTTCTTTTACTTTTTAATCTCTCCTATGATTTATGTAGAAGCATGTTTTAAATTTTTCAATTGTATGACATATTTAAACATCTGTTTTTTGTTATTGATTTCTAATTTAATTGCATTGTGGTTGTAAAAAGCCAGAGTTTGAGTCTTTTCTGGTTGTTGAGGCCTCGCACTTGGTCAGTTTTATAAATGTTCTTTAAGTAATTGAAAAGACTGTGTATTCTCCAGCTCTTAGTTGCAAAGTCTACCTATTTCCATCAGATCAGACTTGTTGATTGTGTCCTCCAGATCTTCCCACCACTAGGGATTTTGGGGTCGGCTCGTTGTAACCTTTGTTGAGAGAGACATATCACTTCTTTGTGCCTTGCTTTCCTTGTCGGTACAACGGGAATACAGCACAGAGGGCTGGTGGTTGTACTCGGAGTTAATATGTGCAAGATATTCCCAGCCGATATGGCAGTGGCCAGTGATCAGTAAGCTAACTCGTGTGATGATAACAGTGGAAGGTTTGCCACTTCCTGTCAATTTGCTCTGCTACTGTGAAGTTATTTTATTAAAAAATACAGTTTAGAACTGTAATATCTTCCATGAGATTGAACTTGTCAGTGTCACCTTCTTTCCACACTCATGCTTTATGCCTTGAAGCCTAGTTTATCTGCTTTGGGGGGTTAGCTTTGCCAGGCACATCTTTCCCAGACTGTCTGCCCCACGTGCTGTTGTGAGAAAGCTTCCCTGTGGTTGCTCCCAAACATTCATGTGAAAACTTGCTATGGTCTAGGGAGACTTCCCTGTCATACCATCATCGTCCTGTATTTCAGTCACTTAAGAAAGTGTAACTCCCAGCAGACTAGCATGTGAGAGAGACCTGTCTATGTGTGATTATCAGTGTGCATTGCTATGAATTTTATCTGTGGCCTACGTTCAGCGTGGGTTCTCCAGGGAGCTGGCAGCACCTGGGGTCACTACCCAGCCAGGACTGCATCAATCTAAGTTTTCCAACTTGGGTTTGGGATCCACACAGGCTGTGTGAGTTCTGACCCTGTGTGGTTCAAAAATTTGCAGGATGACTTTTTTCTTTGATTTTCTTTCTTGGTTAGATCCAAGGTAGCTAAGTTATCAAAAGTACAATAGCTTGCCCGGCCAGCGTGGCTCAGTGGTTGGGCATCAACCTATGAACCAGGATGTCACGGTTCGATTCCGGGTCCTGGTCAGGGCACATGCCCAAGTTGTGCAATAGATCCCCAGTGTGGGACATGCAGGAGGCAGCCGATCAATGATTCTCTCTTATCGTGGATGTTTCTCTCTCTCTCCCTCTCCCTTTCTCTCTGAAATCAATAATTTTTTTTTTTTAAGTACAATAGCTGGACCTAAAGGCAGCTGTGGGACTTGATAGGGACTGCCGATTGGATTGCTCTCTTCAACTTTTTAAATCTTTCCAGGGATGCGTAATTCTTCCTTGTACTGAGAGCAGTCTTTTGTTTCACTTACCTCCTCCCCAAGGATATGATAAATTACCCAGTTTTGGCATCACAAACACTGAAGCTGATAGAGCAGGGTCTACACCAGTGATGGCGAACCTTTTGAGCTCGGCGTGTCAGCATTTTGAAAATCCTAACTTAAGTCTGGTGCCGTGTCTTATATAGAAATTTTTTGATATTTGCAACCATAGTAAAACAAAGATTTATATTTTTGATATTTATTTTACATATTTAAATGCCATTTAACAAAGAAAAACCAACCAAAAAAAATGAGTTTGCGTGTCACCTCTGACACGCGTGTCATAGGTTCGCCATCACTGGCCTCCACACTGGAATCCTTAAGCTACTTTGCTGATGAAGGTGACTCGAAGCGCTGTCATTTCCCCAGGGTTTTGCCTTATCGTCTGTAAGGCCTCTGTCAGCATCCAGCCGAAAGGATGCAGGCTTTCGGTTCTTATCGTTACTTAATGTAATTTTCCATTTTGACTTTGGAAAGCCTTTGAATCTCATATAAATGTCTTTTCCCCAGTTTCTACAAACGATTTCATTACCTGGTTGTATTGGAAGTTGCTCGCCCTCCTTTTTCTAACAGCCCCGCAACCTTTGGAGTATCAGCCTGTGCTCAGAGGTGTAACTGCTCCCCGGAAGGAGGGAGGACCGGCCCGAGTTGCCATTTGCATTTGGTGACACGGTTGTTGTGAACCACGTGTGCTCGTATCTTCTAAACTATAAGTTAACCGTCCCGCACAGGGGCTAGAGCCATGTTTACATAAATGGCCTAAAACCCGCCTGCGTCCACGGGGGACATCAGTAGACACTTGCTTTGTGTTTGG